TCAGGTCCTAAAGGACATAGCTGCTAGACTGGGTCTGCTGCAGTTGGTGAGGGAGCCAACAAAAGAGAACAGTATACTTGACCTCATCGTTAACAATCTGCCAGCTGTAGATACATCTGTCCATGATAGTATCGGTAAGAGCGACCACCAGACAGTCCTTATGGAGACCAAGTCCCGCTTCATATTGAGAGTAATCTCCATCGTGTTATGTGGTACTAACAGTATGGTAAATGGGACAGCTCAAGACTGGGTTTCCACGAGGCACTGTGGGCCATCAACAGAATTGTATTTCAGCACAATTAGTAACCTCATGGCCTGGCATATCCCCCACTCAACCGTTACCATCAGCCAGGCTATCAACCCTGGTTCTATGGAGAGAGCAAGAGGGCATACCAGGAACTGCATCAGGCAAACCTGAAGATGAGCTGTCCATCTGGTGAATCCACCAAACAGAACTACCTGCATGCCAAACAGCAAAAGCAGCAAGTGATAGACAGAGCTAAGCAATCCCACAACTAACGGATCAGATCTAAGCTCTGCCGTCCTGCCACATCCAGTCGTGAACGGTGGTGGACAATTAAACAACTCACTGGAGGAGGAGGCTTATATCCCCATCCTCAATGATGGAAGAGCCCAGCAAATCACTGCAAAAGATAAGGCTGAAGCATTTGCAGCAATCTTCAGCCAGAAGTGCTGAGTGGATATTCCATCTCATCCTCCAGTGGTCCCAGCAAAACAGATAGCATTTTTCAGTCAATTCGATGCACTCCATGTGATACCAGGAAACGGTTGGAGGCACTGGATACTACAAAGGCCACAGGCCCTGACAACATTCTGGCAATAGTACTGAAGACTTGTGCTCCAGAGCCTGCTACTCCCCTAGCTAAGCTCTTCCAGTACAGTGAAAACACTGGCATCTACCTGACAGTGTGGAAAATTGCCCAAGTATATCTTGTACACCAAAAAGCAGGACAAATCCAACCCAGCCAATTACCACCCCTGCAGCCTACTCAATCATCAGTAAAGTGATGGAAGGTATCATCAAAAATGCAATCAAGCAGCACTTGTTCAGCAGTAACCTGCTCAGTGATGCCCAGTTTGTGTTCCGCCAGGGCCACTCAGCTCCTGATCTCATTACAGCCTTGTTTCAAACATGGACAAAAGTGCTGAATTCCAGAGGTGAGGTGAGGGTGACAGCCCTTGACATCAAGGCTGCATTTGACTGAGTGTGGCATCAAGGAGCCCTGGCAAAACTGGTATTAATGGGTATCAGGGGGCAAACTCTTCAGTGGTTAGAATCCTAACTAACGCATCAGAAGAGGGTTGTGGTTGTTGGAGGTCAGTCATCTCAGCTCCAGGACACCTCTGCAGGAGTTCCTCAGGATAGTGTCCCAGGCCCAACCATCTACAGCTGCTTCATCAATCACCTTCCCTCCATCATAAGGTCAGAGTGGGGATGTTCACCAATGATTACACAATGTTCATCACCGTTCGTGACTCTTCAGGTACTGAAACAACAAGATCTGGACAATATCCTGACAAGTGGCAAGTAACATTCGCACAACACAAATGCCAGGCTATAACCATCACCAATAAGAAATAACCAATGCCCTGTGACATTCAATGGTGTTACCATCACTGAAACCCCCACTATCAAAATCCTGTGACTTATAATTGATCAGAAACTCCACTGGACTCGCCTCATAAATACAGTGGTTACAAGAGCAGGTCAGAGTCTAGGAATACACTGGCGACTAACTTACCTGCTGACTCCCCAAAGCCTGTCCACCATCTCTAAGGCACGAGTCAAGAGTGTGATGGAATACTCCCCACTTGCCTGGATGAGTGCAGCTCCAACAACACTCAAGAAGCTTGACAGCATCCAGGACAAAGCAGCCAGCTTGATTTGGCACTACGTCCATAAGCATCCACTCCTTCCTTCACCAATGCTCAGTAGCAGTAGTGTGTACTATCTGCAAGAGGCACTGCAGAAGTTCACCAAATATCCTCAGACACCACCTTGCAAACCCACGATCACCTTCATCTAGAAGGATGAGGGCAGCAGATGTATGGGAATGTTCCTACCATATGCAAGTTCCCTTGCAAGCCACTCACCATCCTGACTTGGGAAATATATCGCCGTTCATTCACATGCTGGGTCAGAATCCTGAAATTCTGCCCCTAGTGGCATTATGGGTGAATCCACAGCAGGTGGACTGGAGCTGTTCAAGAAGGCAGCTCACCACCACCTTCTAAGGGCACCGAGGGACAGGCGGTAAATGTTGGCTAGCCAGTGACACCCACATCCCACAAAATGAATAAATAAAATAAGAATTCTTGAAAGCCTGACCAATGTTTACCACGCACAAGTCAAGTGTGTGGTGGAATACTTGCCATTCGCTTGGATAAGTTCAGCTCCAAAACACTAAGGAAACTATTGAAGATTAAGCAGCACACTTGGTTGGCACTTCATCTGACAGGCTCAATGTTTACTCCTTCCTCCTGACTCTCATGACATTTACAAAATGCACTGCAATAATTCACCAGTGCTTCTTAGACAAAACTGTCCACACTTGTGACCCTTTACTACCAAGAAGGACTTGGATGGCAGATGCGTAGGAACAGCTCCACCTGCAAGCTTATTTCAAAGCCATACATCATCCTGACGTGATGTTCTTTCACTGTCAGAATCCTGGAACTCTATCCTTGCCAACATTTTGTTTTGCTGACACACTTGGGTACAGCATTTCAAAAAGGCAGCTCTCCACTGCCACCTTGAGGGCAATTAGGGATGGGCAATGAATGCTATAGTAGCAGGACACCTGAATCCTGCAAAATATGTATTTAAAAATCAGGGCAGAAAATTTTAGACATTTCTGAAGTTTCTCCCTGAAGGCTAAGCTTAATATTATAAAATTTGACGTGATCGGATTCAAGTTCCGCCTATCAACCTTCCCACATCCTTGTTGGATCATTGTGTTTCATGAAGGAATACACTTTTTAATTGTCTGCACAGGAAATCTTTGAACCTGTTTACTCAATCTTAGCAACTTCATTAATCCTCAAACATGCATTTATGCAAATTTTTAAAATAATGAGTTAATTAATGTGACATTAACTGCTTGGGAAAGGGAGCTGATTCGCATTTGTGACTTTGACGTGAGGAGTTGTCATCTCCAGGGCAATGATTGTAGTTTACAAGTGACTTGCCTACATGCTACATTTTTCTTAACGTGCATCATGTCACTCCATAACTTCCGCCTCATTCTCTTTCCCATCTCCCCAGCCCATATTCTTTTAGTCCAGTGTATCGATGTGGTAGAGATTCCAGTTTTCCAAATGTAATTGGTCATCCTGGGAGGGTGTGGGAGAACCCTCTCATTATATATAATTAATGTTTAGCCATCTTTTTTTATGATGCCTAAAGGTGGTAATTTAAATCAATGGGCAATAATCACATCTGCAACTTTTTAAATTCTTGTGAATGTTCAACTCTTTTTCACAATTTGAGCTAACATCAATGATAATGAGTTGTGTTGTCCATCAAGATTCTTGAATTGCCGCCAGGTTTCCTCGTCATCAATGGTAAAATATTTATTGATTGAAAGTATATAACATGACTCATGGATCTATAGTATAATTGTGCACGTGATGTACACCATAAAAGGACATTGCTATCTCTAATGTTGCAGAACAGTTATATTAGTTTTACATTTTGTGCTCATGAAGTTGGGGGGTATTAGTGCAGGAATGATCTACTTTGAATTTCTGACTATGCCCAGTACACTTTGGCATAGAGTGCAGTGCAACCCAAGCTAGAAAGATACTTTTGTCTCCTTTGCCTCAGAAGTATGCTTGACTCCGGCAACGTGGAAGTACTCCTCGCTATTCCACTGAGAAACTTCTTTCCCGTAGCCTCCGAGTGAGACTATCCAAGAGCAGCGTTTTTCTTCTTTTTTAAGAAAAAGTTGCTTGCATTGTGTTCTTTATGATTTTATCTTATTTGATTACTAAAATGTTAATTGGCCTATCCACAGTTCCTGATTTATTTTTTGAGAAGATACTGTTGAATTATTGGAGGACAGTAAACTAACAATGGATTCATGGTTATTAAAACCACACCATTGGGTTACTGTGCAGAGCAGGGAAACATATATTTGCTTTGCCTCTTGGTAATTCGCAGATATTCAAGCTAGATCTATCATAGTCTTGTAATTGACTCACCTATAGGATTGTCTTGTTGGTTTGATTTGTTTGAATATTCCATACGACAAATGGTTGCTTTTCATTAGCCGTAAAATTCAACAATGAAACAAAGAATGGTGAGGCTTGCAACTTGCATATATATTCAAATAGAAATGAGTTTATATTTATAACTCGTAGACAGAACTAAGTATTTAATTAACAAAACAGCAAGCAATATATAATGAGTTCTAAACTGAAAATACCAGACTATTGCCTTCTCTGTGCATCTATGGACATTAGGGTCAGGAGCAGGAGTAGGTCATATGGCCCCCTGAGCCAGATCTGCCATTCAGTAAGATCATGGCTGGTCTAATTTGTGACCTAATTTCGCATTCTTTCCTCCTAATATGAATGTGTAATTTTAAAAAAGGGAAATTCTAAAATCTATTAGCAGCTTCATCTGACAGCACAACAAATATGAACATTGGTGATCTGCTTAACAGCAAGTTATCTGCTCATTTCTCCCTGTTCTTGCACTTTCCTGCTTGTGTCTAACTTGCCCAGTGGAGTAGTTGACGCTACTTCAGTAAACGTTTTTAAAGATAAGGTAGATTTTTTTTGAACAATCAAGGAATTAAGGGATACGGCGAGATCGCGGGTAAGTGGATCTGAGTCCACGAAAAGATCAGACATGATCTTATTGAATGGCGGAGCAGGCTCGAAGGGCCGGACGGCCTACTCCTGCTCCTGCTCCTAGCTCTTAGGCTCTTATGTGAGCAATAATCTTAAGGAAAAGATGTATAGGCCTATTTTACCTCTTGCTGTCTTCTTCTGTGCTTGAAGTGGGCATGAGTCCTCTCCTCAAGGATCGTCTGATTTGCAGTCATTGTCTCTTGAGGTTCTAGTGCTTCAGAGTTACCCCAAAAGATGCTCATTTTCTGATGAGTGACTTGAAAGCTTAGCATTCGACTTTTAGTGGGGTGATTTGCAAAAAGACAAGAATCGCCAGTATTTGCTACCCTGCAGGCTAAATTAATATATTGTTTTCATTGTTCAAGGACAACATTTTGCAGAGGTGATATGAGCTTTTTCAGAATCTAGGCAGGCTGGTGGGTTAATCTTAGTTTTATGACCTTACCTTCGATGAGCAAAGCCTGATGGAGTATTGTGCTGTAACATTTAGTGTTAAAATGCAGTTGTAATCAATGAGTCTTGAACAGCTTTAATGGGAAGGAAATAAAGGAAGAGCAAGTTTTCAAGTGTTTAAAGACTTGCTCAAGGCTCCTGTGACACGAAGGTAATGCCCCTACCTTTAGGCGAGAAGCTCCTGTGCTCTGGAGGTGGCAGAACATGTCTGAGCCGGTTGATTTATAAAAAAAAATCAATACTTATTTTCCTGTTGTATTTAGTTCAGCGTCTTTAAAGACTGTTTGTTTTTCCAAGTTACTGCTGATTTCAGCAATACCACATAAAAGCCATTTCTCACTTGTGTGTGCCACTTTGTGGTTCTGAAAACAAATCATGCAAAATTGAACAGAAGAAACCTGTTTAGTTTCAACTGAACTTCTGCTTAAAGCACATTTTTGAATCTGTTTGGGTGAGGATGCTGGGAGTGTCTCCTTACTGCTGGTGTGAGTGCCTCTCAATAATTGATACATGAGACAATGAACTTCCCTGAGTTTGATGTGGGCACAACACTAGCTTATCCTGCAGCTGTTGCCGTCTTCTGGAGAGACTTTGTTTCTAGGGTGACAACCAATCAGTCTTTTTGAGGCAAGCATCATGGAGAGCTTGTCTCATCTTTTCAGCTGGAGTATTTGGTTGCATATTCAAGTGACAAGCATACCAAGTAAGGTCAATTTATCTATTTTACACAACATACTTTATAACTTTCTGGCTTACACCACGTAGTTTGCTTTCCCCAGTCTTTCATCTTCACTTTTTAAATTGTTTCCATCTGTTTGTTAATTTGCCTCATTAGCTGGGATTTGTTTTCTGCTTTTTTTCCTCTTTTGGATGACTGATAAGCTTCTGAGTGCTGTTATCAACTCTGACAGGTATTCTCTCTTAGGATATGCAACATGTGTCCGCTAAATCTGGTATTAATACAGCTATTTTTTTTCCCTAGTGGTGCCATCATCGTTGGGGCACATTAATAAAATTTGTGACAGAACTGTAGGAGAGATATTTTAAGTCGTTTGAAAATAGAAATTCTGTTTGGAATTATTTATATACATATTGTACTTGCGGGTAGCTGAATCAATACATTGTAGGGTCTGTATTTCTGCTATAAAAGATTGGCTATTATGCTTTAGTATCCTGAATAATTTGATTAAATTAATTCAAATCCTGCTGTTCTTTGAATTCTGAATGCTTTTCATGTTGCCTGCCACTGCTTGTACCATGCCATCGGTAGCTGTGGAGAAAAGAAGTTGAATTCACTGTCTCGCCTGGTGCCTGACATTGCTCTGTAAACTGCTTTTATTTTATGGTACGCACGAAGTGCATCTCAACTTAATTTGAGGTCACATTTAGCAAGTGCTGTTTGATTATCAATTTGTGATAACGGTTTTGATCTTGAGAGCTGAACTTTACCAAGGTATGTGATGATACTATGGCTGTAAGAGGTGTATTTTTCCTTTTTTAAGATGAAGAAAGTTGAGACAAAGGAGTTGTGATACGTTCCAAGCCAAGAAAATAAACTTGTTGTGAGGCCTCGGGGTTTTTTCAAAATTATAACGATAGAAGCAGTTTGAATGGGTGGGGTCAAGCTCCCACAGATCAGGTTTTTTTTGTTTTAGCTTTCTGCAGTTGCTGGGAACTTGAAGCAGGATGGAGAAGCTGTTATTCCCTTCCTATTTTACTGAATTTTCCTTTGCCAAGGGCACGTTTATGGCAAGTTACTATAGCGGAACAGTTAATTAATAGTGGTTAATATATATTATTTTGTTAAGCATTTCGGTAGTTATAGTTAAGCTAATTCTTTTTTATTTTGTCTGTATCTTAACTAGTGTAAAAATAGTGTGTTTTGCTTAAAATAAAGTAGTTTTGATCAGTTGAATTGCGTCTGGAATGATGCCTTATACCATGCCTTATACCATGCTTTAAAGTAAGAAAAAGTTAGGGTCTAGACAATTTTAATACATTTTGAGTGGGTTTAGTCTGGTCCATAACGGGTACTTTTATTCTTGAGTGTAATGGATAATTTGCCTACAGCTAAGTCTTGCAGACAGCAGTGTGATAAATGGCCATTGATGCTGTATTTGGCTTATTGATTGGCTAAATAAATGGCATATTGTCAAATTATTGCTCATCTTGCTGTGAGCAATGCTGCGCATGATCCAAGAGCCAGTTAATAAAAACACTAAATACTGTTCTACTTGGGTGTAGTATTACATTAGGCTGTTCTTTTTCACTCATGGTAAGTTTATTCACTATAATCTTCTTAGAGTAGCTTGAGTCATGCAAATTTGTTTAAAGTACTATAGTATGATGTTGACAAAACAGTTGAAGTTCCTCAATCTGCACTCTTCTATGCCCCAAACCCTCCCTTGACTTTTCTATCCTTTCCACTAAATTTAGCTGTGTCACAGCCCTTGTCAAATATAACAACTGGATGTGAAGTTGTATGACACAGTGTATGTTATGTTTAATGTATCATTTTGTTGTGAAGACTGCCACAATGAAAGTGGTCTTTGGTTTAGTGAAGCATGAAAGCAGCTGATGTGTGTTGTCAGGGGTCACACCAATATTTCAGTCTTAAAATGGCAGGAAAAGGAAAAGCCTATCTGGAAAGGATAAGTTTAGTGACACAGGACTAGAAAGGATGGCTGGCTAGGGCCAGTATATTTTGGTGTATGTTAAATGGTGATGAAAAGGAAAACTGGACTTGCATGTCATGAAGATAAGGATAAAAGAAGTAACAGAACATCTGTTCTAGTTAACAATGCTAAAACAAAAAACAACTAACCTACATTTCTTGTTAGTTTACTACTATTACATAATAAAAGCCAAAGTTGTGGGTTTATTTAAAATATGATAGAAAAGTTGAACATTTGAAAGTGAACTCTGAACCAGATGTTTCTTGTTCCCAACTTTTCATGTAGTTATAACAGCAAGTCACACTTTTTTGTTGGTGTCTCTCTACCTATGTCTGTCTCACTTTTTCTTTCCTTTTGGGGAATTGTGGGGAGATGGTAGAAGAAATCCTGAGCTGATGATCAGCCTACTAAACTGCATCGTGGGCTAATTAATATTGGCATTAGACTTAAACCCAAACTTCTGGTATAGGGGTAACAATGTTTGAGTTGTGCCACAAGATGTCGTATAATTCTTCTTTAATTCACCTGTTCAGGCACATTGTGACATACTTCTGGTAGTTAGGCCTTGAACTTGGACCTTCTAGTTGAGATGTAGGGACACCACCGACACCACTACTGCACCATTAAAAACGTCGTCAGCTGCTGTGATGGGATTTGAGCCTATGCCCTCTGACCGTTAGCCTAGGTATCTGGGTTACAAGTCCAGCAATGTTACAACTATGCCAGCACATTGTTCTGTTGCAGCAATGTTAGATGAGCACCATCTTAAAAGCTAATGCTAGGTAAGTTAAATGAAGTGCAATAATCTGTTGTATTCAGTTATGAGCTATGAACAGTGCTTACAAAAGTATCTTTGGTCTATGTTCAGCTGAAAATTGGATTTCTCTGAAATGCTCATCAAAATATTTGCAGCAGATAGTGTATTTAGTTGACACTTTTAAGTTCTGTTCCTGTTAAAGGCACTGCACATTCTTCTGTAGTGATTGAACATCAAACTCTGCGTCAATGAATTTATGCTGACTGAGTATAAACAATGTTCCACTTGGGAAAATGTTGGCTAAAAATTATTCAAACAAGGCATTAATTTTGATCACAAAGCTTTTTTTCAATCTTTTTAATGGCAGTTTAATTTGTATTGAGGGAATGAACCTGTTATAGTCGATAAGTTAAAACCTTGATTAGCTGAAATATTCTTGAGGCTGCTGAAGACTAATCTGTGCCAATTAGCAACTTCCGTAAGACTGTTGCAAAATTCAACAAGTTACAGACTACTGATAGTTACTTGACCCAGTTAAACTGGTCAATATATTTTGTTCTCTGCCTTGAATCTATTTGTATGTATTTCTATGAAAGGATTTTTCATTTTATTCTGTATTATGTAACATTTCACGTACCGACATGCCTGTGTCTAGTTTGGCATTCTCTCTGGATTGAGGATGACTTCCTTCTACTCTGGTTTTGTGGGTTCTGAGGTGATTAAACAGTCCAGTGATGGATTAGGATACCCTGCTGAAGGTGGCATTTGAAGAGGTGGATGGGTGGGGTGTGCTAGATTTTGCATGCTCCTGTCACTCTTGGTGCTTATTTTAGAGTTGAACCTGTCAGAGAAGCTCCATGTTTGTACCTTTTGCAATGCTTTTTCAACTTGGGCACTCTTCGGCTAGAGGTTCCTGCTAGTTAGTTAATATACTGCATTTCTTGAGGGAAGCTTTGAGGATGTCCTGTCCACTGGATGGAATGATTCAACAGCCCAAGTTGGACATCTGTTGCAGATTGCAGTAGAACACATTGTTTTTACCAAAAAAAAATCCGTCATTGTTTTTGTTCATGAGTATTGGACTGAATTTAAAGATTTTTGTTCATTTTATCAAGATTCCGTCAAATAAGTGGAGATGCAGGACAGAAATCTTCAAATTCAGTTCAATGCTCATTAACAAAATGATGGCACTTCCTTTGCCTTATGTGAGAAAAACACTACTTCCTCATGCAATCTGCAATAACTGTCCAACTTGGGAAGTTAAATCATACAATTGAGTGAAACGTGACAATAAACACCTCAGTTATCA